TCCCAAATTTTTATCCACCACACATGAATGTGGGACCAGACTGTTCCACATCTCCACCCTTCCTACCAGTCTGGAAGGATGTGATTCCTTTAATTCCATAGTTGTTAGACTTCCATTCAGCTCAATTTTTTATGTTTCTGGGTAATAGTTGTTTTATATTTTAGATGTAATTTTTATGTGATTGTGCGAGAAGTCAAACCCTGTTTACCTATGCTGCCATCTTGACTGGAAGTCCATGTGTTAATTTTCAAGAGCTCTTTTTTGTTTTCTGAAAGTTCTGTGGTTTTTTTCATAGTTATCTTTCTGAGGATAGTAATGGTAGTTTGACGTTTTCTTCTTGTTTAGTCTGTTTCCTCTAAGTTGCTCTTTCTGTTTGTTTTGTTCTCGTCTTCCAAATTAGAGACTCCTCTCCAGATGCCTTAGAAGTTTGGTTGTCTGCTTATGATTAGGAATAGATCTGTAGTTATTGATCTGGGGCAGTTCTCCCCCTAACCCTTCCTGGAGACATTTGACAATGTCTGTAGACATTTTTTGGTTTTGAAAACTGGTTGAGAGGATGCTACTGGCATCTAGCAGGTAAAGGCCAGGGATGCTGTTATGCATCCTGCAAGGATTCCTTCCACAAGTATCCAGTCCAAACGTCATTAATGCCAGGGTTGGAAAGTTGCAGTAGAGGGACTGAAAGAAGATTAAGAGCTCTGAACTTACTGGCAGAACTTGTTGACTTTGGGTTTAAAGGAGGATGATCTGGTTGGGTGGTTTGAACAATTTGGTCTCATTGTCTTTAGATCTTTCCTACTGGGCTGGTCAGATATTTAGTAGAAAATCTTTCCTCTTTGGTCTGAAGGGTGAAGATCTAGGCTCTAATTACTCTCCTATTAAGGGGAGAAGAAGTTGGGGTTGTCTGCATTCAGTTTGTATGGGAGCACATAATCCCCTTGCTTTCTATATAGTACCCACTTCCTCAGCTGCCTGTGTCCCCAGTTCTAAGACCTAAAGTTTTACCCTCTCTAGAGAATGGACCTTTGTGAGAATGAGGTTGGGGCATTTACCCAGTAGCATGTGTTAAGGGGGGCTTCTAGGACTCTAACTGGTTCTCTAACAGATTTCATGCAAACCTTGTTATTTCAGCATCACCCTCTCCCTCCAGTCCCAGAGTAATCTGGTGCTACCAGTTTAAATGCTTCTTAGGATTCTGTAGTATAAATGGGTTTGGTTCTCAACTTCCCTTAATTTCTCTTTGCAGTTCAGCTTTCCCAAATATGCTAAGCCTGTTACATTACTGCATCTGCTTTCTTGGTTCCAGGATTTGATTATTACTCTTGTCTTCTCTTGTTCCCTCAGTCCTGCAAAAAAAATGTTAATCCCCTTGGTATCATTTTAGTGGGGTTTGAGAGAAAAATAAATTAGGTGCATTGTGCCAAATCTATCCTGTTATCCTAGAAACCAACATACTATATTTTAGCGTAATTTCATTTAATTCTAGTCACCCTTATTGATACATTTACTTTTGTTATCAGAATGATTCATTTCCTAGACTTAACCTTTGCTCACATACATGAAAACTAGAGATTATTCCGTGTCTGTATAGAGTCACAGCTGCTTTCTTTTCAGAAGGCGTGCAATTTTATAGCAATATTGACTTGTAACGTATCCTGGTTTAATTGCCCTTTTACTTAAAAACATAGAATTCTGCAGTTACCTGCCTCAAGCAGAACCTTGTGCCACAATCCCAATCAATATTCAGTATTCTTAAAGAATTGAATAAAGAATATATATTTCATCAGGTCTGAGAAACCCTAAATTATCTTATTCCATTTTGAATAATATCCTGGCCAGAATTAGTGGAAATATGAGTAACATAGTAGTTTATCATGATAGCTTAAATAAATACTCAAGAATTAACTATACAATAAAATAAAAAATTTAAGCATGAAATTTCAAGCATCAAAAAAGATTTTAGGCCAGAGTGAAACTTAGACCTTCTGAGTTTTTGCCATTTCTTAAACTGTCATTCAAGTATAATTAATAAGTTTAATACAGTAGATGTTTTATATATACTTTATTGCACCCTCACCCCTTTTAACATGGTAAACCAAACCAGATTTTCTCATAGCCAGCCTCTCTTTAACCTATCAAATAAATGTAATGAAATCCTGCTAAAATTATAGGTATTATATACTCATTTAAATGCTTATCAGTTTCTGCTAAGTTTCTGGTTGGTGGATTGAATCACAAAAAAAGCTTAAAGTGTATTTCAGTGTCTTTTAGTGTATTAAATTTGGTGTAATTATGCTACCCCCCCTGGATATCATTGAGGTACAGAATACCCTTGAAAATGCTGTAATTGTGATCTCTCTGTAGGTCATCAGTAATTCATAGGTAAAATCATTTTTTGCCTCACATTATAAAATTAGCCTAAGGAATTAATTTGATTTGATATTTATCCACATATATAAATACATTTCTGTTTCTTTGGGGTTTTGTTTTCTCTCCCTTCTCTAGAACTAGCTTTCTTCATTCTACTGTTGCACAAAGAGTGGGAAGACAAACTATGCTTTCTTCCTCATCTTTGTTCAAATGGGAAAAAGTAAAGAATTGACCCATTGACCATGAATAATCCCACATACAGCTCTCAGAAAATTTCCAAAAAGATGTAGTGAATTGAAGCACACTACACACACATATATAGAGAGTCCCAAGGGTTTATGTGTGGACAGAAACCAATTACATTAAGCTTTTCCTGAAATTGCTTGCTATTGTCAGGATAAGTGATTGTTACAAAATGGGGGGGGGTGCTGAATGACATAAAAGACCCCCCTTTTTCTCCAGGGGTTTCTCCCCACCTACTGGGTTTGTTTTGCCAGCCACCTGAGGGAAGATGTCTCTTAATACTAGAGATCAGTGAAAAGGAAAGGAATTTATTATTTATTTGAAATAACACAAACTAAAGTTTCCCACAAATGTACACAGTCCTCCTGGCACCCTCCATGTGGCCAAAGGGAGCACTTCCAAAGCCTTGTGGTTCTGACTCTCACCCAAGCCGCATGGTCCCAACCAAGATACCAAAGCCACATGGTCCTAAACAGATGCGTGGTCCCAAGAAGAGAGACGCCCAGTGGCTGCTGTGCCTCCGTTTAAATCTCAGTGCCACTCTTCCTCTGCAGCCCCATTTTTGGCTCCTCTCACAACTGGCCACAGCTGCCAGCATTCTGGGCAGGTGTGGCCCTGTGGTGTGGAGCCAGTTATCTCCAAGCTCTTCTGGACCCCATTAAAAATCCCTATTTGGGGCTCCCCTCTTGGCTGCACCCTGTTACATGATCACAAGTAAAACATCCAGATTGAGAATGAAAACATTTGTGGAAGTCCTGTCTCACTTGTTATATTGTCTTCTCACAAAGGAAATCTTTGAATAGTTTTGAGTGATTATCAAAAAGGCTCTGTTTCTATAGAGTTCTGAAAGGTATATTATTACCATTGCTTTTCTTTCCAGTTTAGCTTTGTTAGATTGTTTCAAGAGAGATTTGCTGCTGTAGTGTAATCAATGTCCTGATGATGTCATGGTGAAATCAACTAATTCATATGATCTCAGAAAAGTGCTTAAGTCTGGATTAGACTGTATTCTTTTACTTGTGCTCTAATTGAAAGAAAAAGACAAACTTATACATTAAGGCAAGCAAAATCACAAATATCCTAGATAAATGAAGAACCTTTCTCTATCTCCTGATTGGCCACATGCATCCAGGTATACTGTTTTTGCCTGTAAAGCCAATGAAGATGTTTCGTGTTTTTCTGTTTCTTTTTCCTGAGGAGGGGGAAAATACACACATATATGTATGTGTGTTTAATGACTGAAACCATTCTAGCCTTCGAATAAACTACTATAGCATATTGCTATTGAATTTGGTATTATTCAATAGTAGATTCAAGAATGTAGAAATCTATCTTTTGATTATCTTTAGATCAGTTACTTATTTGATAACTATTAATCACAAGAAACTGTGTGTGTGTATGTATGTGTGTATGCATGTGTATGTTTTAGTGCCTGGGCATTGGTATTTCATCATCCCAGTTTTGAGAGCCACCAATTTAGATTGAGGGGAGTACTAGGTGAGCAAATGATTGGACCAGTGACACTCTGCCAGTAAAAATTATTTTCTTCCCTATGGCAGCTTAGAACAGTTCCAAAATGAAGTTTGAGAAGGATGAAGGTTTTCTCTGTGACCTCAGGTGATGCTGGAGAAGTTGTTGGAGACCAAATCATGTGAGGCTTTCACTTTGTGAAGTGCCTGTTCAAATGTTTTGCCCAGATTTTACTAGAGTGTATTTTCTTATTTTACTTAAGAATTATTTATGTATTTTGGTTCCTAACTAAATATATGTATTGCACATACCTTCTCCCTCTGGGATTTTAAGCAGAAACATAATACCAGATTTTCATTTTTAAAACATCACTGCAAGTATGAATAGAAAATATTTTTAGGTAGTTCTGGTAGAAAATGGTATTAGCTTAGACTAGGGATTGAGATGTGGATAGAAGTGGATAGGATTAAGAGATATTTGGGATAAATTCAATAGGTCTGGTTAATGAAGATTAGAAAGGTTGTAGGTAAGATGAGAGGAAGGGGTCAAGAGTGACTCAAGTTTCTGGTTTAAAATATAAAAGTTATGTATATTGCCAGTGATCAATTTCTTATTTTAAGATGTTGATAATATGTATAGAATATTACAATGATTCTTTTCCTTGAACATAAGAATGCTATTTAGAATTTTAAAAAGTGATTTTGAAATGCAAATTTTTTCTCTTTTTCTGAACTAATAACTTTAAATTATTAGTTACTTACCTTATGAATTATAGAAAAATATGTTCAAAATTATAATACATAAATTTTATTTTGAAAACTGTGGTTACAGTAAACAATGAAATATCAGTGAGATATTGGAGAGAAATAGGAATTTAGTAAAATCAATGAATTAAACTTCGCTTTTTTTTTTTTTAGGGGTCCTTTCAGTGTTGTACGACGATGTATCAACAGAGAAACTGGGCAACAATTTGCTGTAAAAATTGTTGATGTAGCCAAGTTCACATCAAGTCCAGGGTTAAGTACAGAAGGTAAGAGATGGATTTCAAGTAAGTTATTTGATGTCTGGCTTTATTTCATCTCCAAAATCCATTTATCAACCTAACCTTCATCTGGGGGTGGGGAAACGGAGGTTATAATGTAGTGGGAAGTGGGTGGAGGCAGTTTAAACTCTATTCTAGTCTGTTAGAATTCTAGAACATAGTATTTGAAAGACAGCTAGAGTGATTTAAAGAGTTATAAAGTCACCTAAGATTGCTTATAGGCCTATGTGTTTTGATGAGGATGAAAGTGAAATCAGAACATATATTTTTTTAGTGTCTAATTTTGAGTCCTGTGGTATACAACATGGGATAAGAAGGGAGGGAGAGGAAATAATGACAAAGACATGATAATTGCAGGTCAGAAGAAACTCATGAATTTTCTTCAAGTTTGTACCTTACTACCTTTAGAAATATGATTAATAGAATTAAAAGACTCGTATAATGTTGGGCTTAAGTCACATATGGTGTATATGTGAAAATTTAAAAGATCAATACTGTTAAGACTTGCAGGACTTAACATTTTAAGACATTGATATGGGTGATCATATTCATCTATATATATTCATAAATAGTATGTAATCATTTAAAGTTATTTATTTTTACAGTTTTAAGCCATAGTTTTATGTAGCCACAATTCACATATGCTCACACTTCATGTGGCAGAATTATTATATTTTTCTAATTATCCTCTCTTCTAACTTTAGACTTTTTCACAGTCCAGTAGAAGATGTATCCTTCTTTAGTCCTTTCCTTTCTAATCCCAAAAGCAATGCAACTGACAGTTTAAATTGGAAAACCTAAGGCAGGGTGCCTATTTATATTTTCTCCACTTATGCTACTTTGGGGAGTAGAAGTCCACATAATATGAGCTCCAAGATAATATGTTCCTGCAGATATTTTGGGGGATCCTTATTTTGACATATCAGTACTGTTACAAACCTTCGAAATATTATTATCCATATGTTGATTATAAAAGATTCCTGAAGGTTGTTACTCATAAAAAAACTCTAACTGAAATTTTTAGTGCTTTAATCTTTGAAATCTTATGGTAAGATTTACAGGTTTTATATATGATGGTTTCATACTCTAAAATTGGCTGTTAATACTTTCTAATACAAATTGCTTTATAAATTTAGCAGAATTTAAAATTTACTTCTAACCAGGCTTTACAACTAGATTATGTTACCTAAAATTTTTAACTGCATTTAAATTTAATATACTGTGTTTGATTTTAGGTACCTCAGTTTTCAACTAATAAAGAAAACCTGTCTGAGTACTGAGATAATTTTGCATAAACCTAGTTTATTAAACATACAGATAGATGTGTTGAATCTTTATTACTCTTAAATGTTCTGATACTATTGATGAACTGTTAGTAAGATTCCAGTTCAAAATCACAAGTCTAATTTAATTACTCAGTATACTTATGTATTATATATATATTTATATTGAGTAATATATACCTATATATATATTATAAATATACAGGTATATTGATATTATATATAGGCTTACTGATGTAATAAATATAGAGGTATATATAAATAAATATAGATATATTTATATATAAATAAAATATATATATATTTTTTTAAATCCTCACCTGAGAATATCCTTATTGATTTGACAGAGAGAGAGAGATACAGAAAGACAGACAGACAGACATAATTGGTTGCCTCTCATACACACCCCAACTGGGGGTTAAACCCACAACCTAGGAATGTGCCCTGACTAGGAATCAAACCTGCAACATTTTAGTGTATGGGATGAAGCTTCAACCAACTGAGCCACCTGGCGAGGGCATTATATCTATATTATATTGATTTAGGTCATCATTAATACCTAATTCTGAATTTCTCCAGTCTAAGGACAGTTTTAGGGAGACAATTCCTTTGTCAATTGGCTGAGAATGTTTATTGATAGATTTCTTCAGTGAGAGATCTTTAGAGATATAGACCAATACTGCCAGGCTGAATGTCATCTATCAGGGAGTCAAATGCCAAACATTTTTTTAAAGAGGGGCTTGGCATGTAGTCTATGCCCCTTAGTTTAAGTTTTGTCTTTAATATAATATATGGGAAATTGTAGCTCACTTCTTTATTGCTTTGGCATGACTTTGGCTACAAAAATGTCTTCAGGTCCTGTTTTGAAGATAAAGCCACGTCATTCCATTGATCCTATGTGGTAGGGCCACAGTCTCCAAGTATTAAAAGATATCCAGTTGAACTTTGCTTATTACATATGACTTTATCTGGTTTTCATCAGGGATCAGTGTTCTTCAATTGAAAATGTACAATTAGTTCTATATTTATGGCAACAAAATGTAGTTTTCCCATTTTCTTTAACACAGTGACCAAGAGACAATCAGAATTTTATCTCCTTCCCCAACCATTTTTTTTGGCAATGGAGTTCCCATACCCTCTATTATTCATTTTCACACTAGTTTATTTAATTCTAATTTGAACACATTTTATTATAAGGTACATTATATATAATAAATAATAAAATATTTATTTTTTATCATTTACTCCTCTTTGAACAGTGTCCCCCACTCCCAACTTCTTTAAACTCTTTTTTACCACGATAGGCAAAAACAGTTTATCTCCTTTGCCTTTGCAGTCAATTTGCAAATTGTTAGGGTCCAAAAATGACCTCATTCATGACTAAAGATAGGAGATGCTATACTAGGAAGAAACATTTTCAAGTGAAATTCAACATAACAAAAAGTTTAAATAAGTTCAAACAAGAATATCTAGAAATGTCTATATTTACCATTGCATTCTCTCCTAATTATCCTGTCTCACAGGCAACAGATAATTTAACATGTCATTCTTTATTCTTTCCCTTCCTATTTTATTTATTCCTTTGTGGTTTATTTGATCTTTGTCATTGCCCCAACATTCTTTTTCCTGTTTTCTTAATGCATTTGTATTCAAATACATGATTGAGAAAAATACATTTTGTAAAGGGTCACCTGGGAACTGCTGTGTGCTGTTTATTTGGATAGGTCTTTATAATCCAAAGACAAATAGAAAGAGCATCTACACTTAAGAGACTTACAGTTTAATAGTCTCCAACCATTGTTTCTAACATTTTTAGGAGAAAACATATTTAATACTACATATAATGTACAAATTAGCTTTTAAAATGAAATGTGTATATTAATTGGCCATTTATTTATGTTTTAATATTTTAAATTCTTATTACTCCATTGAAGATGTGATATTATAATTATTTGAATATCTGTTCTCTATTTCCCCATTAAAATCATATTTTTTTCTCCTTCAGTAGGAGTTTTTAATGCACAGGCTGCAGAATATTTAAGAAACCCTTAAATTGTAAGCAGAATTATGTATATGTTCATTTTCCTAGGAAGAGATTCCACATATTTTATTAGATTCTTGCAAAGGCATATTTTTCCTAAATGGTTCAGAACATCTTCTTTCACATTAAGATACTGCTTCTGATTGGAGGATATTTTTATATTTATATACACAGCCCCCATTAATTAAATTTCTTGATTATTATCTTAAACTTTTAATTAATACACATTTTATCTCTTACTCTTCTGAGCTACTAATGAAATTTTACTCTTTTGTCTTAATAGGTAGCAAAATTAGCTCAGGCAAATTTCTATAAGAAAGATAAGCTCTATAGAATTGGACCCTGAATTGACAGTTTTGAGATCTTGAAGGGACTCAGTTCTTTATGGTTTGGTTTTAAAAGCTAAAAAATGAGGGATTTTATTTTGGAATATAATATTAAGTTGTCTTCTAGAAATAATATAAATGGAGTTCCAGTTTGCTCAGTCTCCAAGAATATTTCATTGTAAAAGTTCCAAATAGCAGGTGATATCAGCAAAATTGGAGGAGCAAGGACCTTCAACAATTCTCATTTCCATAAAAGCAAGGGTAAAACTGGCAAAAACTGTCATAATCAACTTTTTCAGAACTCTGGAAATTCACCAAAAGCTTGCAGCTATCCAGCAATAATTTATTCAAGAAAAACATCTGATTCTTGATTAAAAAAACAAACAGTAAGCTATCTGGCATTTTCACCTTCCCCGTTTCCCATTCAACTCTCTCCAGCTCCACAGTACCCTTGACAACAGTTCACAATCAGAATGAAAAAAACAAAAACAAAAACAAAAACGGGAGACTGACTGCCACCAGAGGAGGCAGAACATAGATGGAACTTCTTCAAAGCCTCCTGCCAAGGAAATTGTCATTATTTGACCTGTCTGGAAGACCCCACTTAGAAGGCTTGAGGCAGAAGATAACAGTTGGGGCAAATAGAAAACTAACCTAAAAGCTTACAAATAAAAGCTGTTTAGTGAGATGTCTATAGGGGCCCAGAGCTACAGCATATTCACGGGAACCAAAAAGGCCATGAACATGTATAGGATTTTTCACAAGCTCAAGAAAGATTTGAAAAGGTCTTGAGCTCTCAACTATAGCTGACTTTCAGACTGTAAAAGCATAAATTGAGTGCTAAGGCAGAGTTGCTACGTCCCTGACTGTTGAAGGCGTGCTCCAGCACATACACAGAGCCTGTGAACAAAGACTAAGCTTACCAAGCTGAGACTTAGTGGCTACATACAACAAAGAATACAGACTTTACAAAATTAGTCCCAAAAACTCACTAAACAAATAAACACCAACAATAAAGATGAACCATGGAGAAGATGAAGCTCTGATTTCCAGAGGTGACATATTATTTAAAATGTCTAATTTTCCACAAAAAGTTATGAAACATGCAAAGAAACAAGAAAGTATGGCTCATTAACAGGGAAAAGCAATCAATAGAAACTGTCCCTGAGCAAACCCAGATGTTATACTTATTGGGCAGAGAGTTTAAATCAGCTATTTCAAATTTGTTCAAAAAGGAATAAAGGAAACCATGCCCTGGTTGGTGTGGCTCAGTGGATTGACCTCCAGCCTATGAACCATAGGGTCACTGGTTTGATTCCTGGTCAGGGCACATGTCTGCATTGTGGACCAGATCCC